TAAGCAAAACCCAAAAGGAGTTACCTCATTAACATAGGGCCAGATCTTTTGAAGATGAAGATTTAGCCATTTTAACTGAAAAACAAAAGAATTTAAATAAAAATGTTAGTCCCGCTGTGGCTACCGCAGATGAAAGTGAGAGAAAGTAGAGGAAGAAAGAGTTGGAGTTGGGAGCTCAACTTCTGTCTGTGGGAGAAGACGACCCAAGAAGGGTAATACTCAGAAGGTAAGAGCTTTCTAGAATCCGCGACAGTCATTCGAGCAAAAGCAGCTACAGTTGTGGCGAGCTCGGAACGGAGCTTGGATCGGTGGTTCTCTAAGCGGACAAACACCACGATAATTGCGAGTCCCACTAGAATTCCGAGCACTAATCCGAAAACGAAGTCCATTGGATTGGATTGGATTGGATTGAGAGCACAGTCGAGATTTGGGGGTGCTTTGGTCGGTTGGTGCTTAGTTGGTCAGAGAGAGAGAAACTGAGAGACTGAGAGAGTTGGGCCAAAAATTGAATTAAATGCAATAATTAGATTAGAGAAGAAGATGGGTCTAAATTGCAATGGTGGATTGGATTTAAAAAGATTGATGAAATATATTATCGCTGTTTTATTAATCTTTTTGCCTAATTTCTTTGTTGTTGTAATTGTAACTTTGTAATGAAGGTTTGGGCGGACAAATCGGTGGGGTCGTTTGGTGGAGAGAGAGAGAGAGAGAGAGAGAGCGAGAGATGTGGCTGTCTGTCTCCGGCTCAGATGGTGAAGGAAAATGCTTTGCCTCGCCGACAAGTCATTAAAAACAAAAACAAAAGAAATAGCTAAGACTTATCAAACAAACAAAGAGCTAAGACTTAAAAATGAAAAACCATAACAAGATTGCACTTCCTTCCCCCCCACTCCGGCCCGCACGTGCAACCATGAAATTAAAAAATGGAAAAATATATTACTAAAATAATAATAAAATAAAAAGAAGCCCAATGGGCCTGTCAACACCTACAGCCCATTAGTTTAGGAGGAGGGAAAAGGGGTTGGAATTCTACATTGGGCATGTTTACATATCAGTAATGGAAAAAGTAAGGAATCAGAGAATTTAGGAATCGGGGAACTACTGAATCGGTATGGGAAGAATCATTCCCATTAAGCTGTTTACTAAACATATGGAATTAGCTTAGGAATGGGGTTGATTCCCATTGTTATTGTTTACTAATTTACATGAATCAGAATCCAAATTAATTTGATTACCAAAATGTCTTGCATATTTTCACCATAGCACATATATAATTCTCAAATTGACTAACGAGACTAAACTAATCTTGTATCAAACCAGTAAGGCGGTGTAAACATGAGGAATCAATATGCTGAACAAGATGAACATCCAGAGCTCAGTTCAATGATAATGTTAATAACACATTTGTCCAGAGCCAATTTCAAACGAAAAAATAAATTCCAATAAATATATATCTTTCACCTACGTAACTAGTAAACAATCAAATAATAATAACTTGCATAATCTTCATACGATTAAATACATAATCTTCATATTACAAACAAAGAGATATATAATCTCCACAAACGTCTTTATCCATGACCAAACTTTGTTTTGTGATGAATGTGAAGACAGAAGATAAAAGAAGATAGATAGATAGATATATAGAATGACTTTCATAGCACAAGGCATTGTTGCTACTTCTGGGAGGTTGTGTCTGCAACGCTAACGTGAAAAAGAAGTTGGAGTGTCTTGGAACTTCTTAGCATGAGTTTTTTTTTTTTTTTAAAGGGTTTGGGGTGTTTTGGAATTATGGTAAAGTGGTAAGGGTATTTTTGAAAGTTAATAAGAGAAAACAGGAATGGGAATCGTATCGACTACTCCCCCCTAGTTGATCTGATACCTAGTTTTGAGGGGATGTGATTACGAATTTTGAGGTGGGGCCCACTTATTTTTTAATTCCTGATTGCAAGTAAACGCAGGGGAAGTCAGGAATGGAAATCATTCCCTTTCCTCCCATACCCATTACTGATACGTAAACATGCCCTGAGGGTCTTATCTAAGGTCCTTAGATGAGGCATCATCGCTTAACTGTTGGATCAAATTGGTTAACCGTTGAATCAAATTGGTTAGTTTGATCCAACGGTTAAGAAATAAGATCTCATACATGGGCCTTAGATAAGACCCTTACTATAGAATGACTCGGAAAAGGAGAACCCAGTGTATGGAATCAAACTAAACGCAACATTTTGACCCAATTTGAAGGAGAAGCCCATTTAGTTGGTAGCCCGTTGATTTATAGCTCAGAAGAAATTCCTTGATGGCTCATTCATATCCTACAAAGCCCACCCATACAACACAACTGCAGAAATGGACCTTCAAAATCAAAATATACCCAACAATTTATTCACTACATTACATTACATTTCCAAGTCCAAAAAGAAATTGGACTGGTAGCTAGCTTTCGCGCGAAAAATAGGACTGGTAGCCTTTTAGGGTCTGAAGAAGATGCCTAAATAGCCCAGCACTAAGCAAATGTGGGCCCACTGTGAAGAGAAAGTACATATTACGTAAGGATCCACAAGACAGGAAACTTGGACTGGTAGCTTTCTTTTCTTTTTTATATTCTTTTTCTTCTACTTTTTTATTTTAGTGAACAAAAATTTAGGGGGAGATTGGCTACTCTCACTACCAGTGTTAGTCAAATACAAAATGTTAAATTTGAATTTGATGGCTTACGTGGTAATTTAACACTTTGAAAAAAAAAATTAAACCAACCAAAAATGCCAAATATCATAATATTTTATTATATTTTTAAAAGCAAATAGAGCTCATATGATGTATATTTTTTAAGAGAGTAAATAATAGTGGGGTCCATTACTAAAAAAATATTAAAATAATATTTGACATCAAGCTTTTTGATATTTTATTTTTGACATATCTCTTCCAGCCTTCAAATTCATATAGGATTTGACTACTCGTTTGAGCAACTTTAACCTTCAATTTTTGCCATTTTATGCTCATATGGCAATTTGACACATCGGTTAGAGATACTCTTAGAATATATCCATAATCTCAAGCCAAAAGAACTTACATGTGGTACCCAACTGCCACACACACTAACGAATAATCCAGTTGTTGATCGGTTCATAATTGTATATTATTTCTTACCCTTCTAGCTTATGATTTGGTTATGTTTTTGAGTTAAACTTGTGCTTTTAATCCTTTTTGTGTTTATCTTTCAGTTAATTGAGCTTTAGGTAACAATGATGGCTTTGGAGAACATAATTCATGCAATTCAAGCATGTTAAGGCCTAATTTGGATGAAT